TTTTAGATAACATCAGTGTGCTGAGCTGGTAAATGAATGAAGAGAATTCTCTTGTAATGGGAATAAGGGACCGAGAAACAGTTAAAAGGAAGGTAATTGAGAAATGCCCTGAAACCGAAGCAATCAGCTATTAGGAGAACAATAAGAAATCATTACAAGACCAGAGATGTCACCAATAAAGGCCTCATTGGAGAGAAAGATAGAAAAGGGATCAATCATTTTAGAGAAATACTATTGGAGCTGCTATTACCAAGCATCTCAAATACTGTGTAGGTGTCTAGTTACTCAGATTCAGGATGGATAAATTCCTCTTGATAGCTAAGAATACAGGGCACGGCAAACCCATGATGCAAAAAGCAAATGGAAGAGCAAACTGAAAATGGAGAAGGAATGCAGCACTATGAAAACACATCATGAGTGCAAGCTTAAGGGAGAGAAAAAGGATTTTCTTCCCTCTTAAACTGAAGAGCAGTACTCTCACAAGATGAGATGGGCTTCCATGAGAAGGGATACGACCAAAGCACTGAGATTCCAGAGCAGCAAACCAGCTTTGTAAGTAGTTTTAAGTATGAAGAATATGTTCAGATTTGCTAAGAACTGCCAGTTCTGGGTGTTCTGGTCTAGAACGTGTCCATTCCAGTCCAGTCTGAAATCTTAGATATCAGGCTGGCAGCAACTGTAGAAAAAGGACAGAAGGTTACAGACTAGAAAAACAACTGGTAAGGAGAAGACAGCTACCACTTCAGTAAGGATATTAACATTAAATATTCCAAAGCATCTAAATGTTTCACTGAAGACAAGTTGTAGTTGCCTTAAAATGACTGTGCTGATACTTTAAGAGAAGAATCTCTGAGACATCTTTATTAATAATGTGGTTATCTGTAAAGTCAACTGCTTTGTAAAGGTATGCATTAATATCCACCACAGGGAGATGCTTCCAGGTAACTTCGTCACAGGTTTTGTTAAGGGATTAAGAAATTTCAGAAATTGCCTAAGGCTTGTTTTCTGACTAACTTTCAGGGAGGATTCTAGAGATTTCCTGAGTGGAAAAGTTTAGCAGATCTCTTGCAGAAGTGCAAAGGGTCAAAGTGAACTTGCTCAGGTGCTGGGACAGTGCAGGCAGGTAGCTATATACAGCTGTGCTGTACAACAGCTGAGCTAGTTCCTTCTGCTCATGACTATATTGGGCTGTACCTCAGTTCTTTACTGTGAAAATATGAGTACTTATGCAAAGCACCCATTCATCTAGAAAATAAAGACCCTAATTCTGCAAATACTTGTGCAGATGCCTTACTTAAGTGTGGAAGGAGACCCCAAACCATTTAAGTCTACAATTTGCAACATCAGGAAAAACGTTTTTACAGATGCTGAAGGGTCAGATCTATTCCACTAACTCTTTGATCTCCTTAGTTGAATAGGATAGGTAGCAGTGAAAATTATTATCATTATGGTGCACATTCCTACATATCTTTTTTTGTGATAAGATAGAGCTCCTGAACTATGTTTGCATTTGTAAATATGTATTTGAGCCTTACAAAAAAGGTAAATCGGCACTGTCTTGATATACAATGTGTCTATCTGTGAAAAGCACTCATCTTGAACACAAACTAAAATGTAATGCATCAGAGACATATAAAATCACGACAAAGATTAAGCTTTTGGTTCTGTAATTTTTGTAAGAGGTTTTGAATGATAATATTAAGTGCCATTGCTTTCAGCACTAGTGGGAAAGAGGATGCTTTTTAACATCAAAAAAATGGAAGATAAAACAATTTTTCAGACATCTAACATGAAAGACATGAAAAAAGACAGAGACAAAGCAAGCTGCACTTTTGAACACACTCTCTTGTTGACCTAGATCTCATATGGCCGATGGGTGGCCTACAGGCCCAATCCTGCTCACTAGGCAGTGCTATCCAGCTCTCAGGAATGCTGGGAGATCCATCTGCACTTTATTATTGCTGGGCAGCTTGTCCAATGTGCTGGAGAGCTCTGTGGATCCGTAGGGTGCCCTCTATTAACCAGAAGACAGGGTGCTAGGTACAGACTCAAGACCTGTGCTGAGACAGAGCTGATAAACCGTGCTGAACATGAGCTGAGCCTGTGCAGGCAGATATAACTGTAGTAAATGATATGGTATGTCTAGCTGTATGTGGGTTTTTTTCCGATTATTCAGGGAATCTCGGATAACCACTGACTAAACGGTGATCCAGTGCTATTGGTCTGTCTCCTCAGTATCGTTTGCTGTCTTTGAGCTCATGACTGGGTCAGGCATGGTATAACCACATGACAGCTTGAAGCTATATTAGAATAAAAGGTTTCAAAGTTAAAACTGCCACTCTGGATGTAATTGACATATCCAGTTGATTGCATTACAATATATTTGGTTGACAAGCAGAACTAATTAAAAAGCACCTGATTGCCCATCTACCTTGTTACATTTCATTTCAGTGTACTTATCAGTGAATTAAATCTCATTTAGAGACGATGAAGGTGCAGTGGTGCAAAGGTGTAGGGCTCACTAGTTCAAGGTTACAGAGGCTTGAATTGTTCTATCTGGAAATAGATTTTTTTTTTCTCATGTCAAAATGATGACAGAGAATCTAAAAATATAGAGTCAGTGTAGAAGGAGAAGGCATGATATGGCTGAGGAAATCAAGTAGACATAAGGTGGAGACAATGTCAACAAAAGAAAATTGTAATGATGTTAATAATAAGACTGAGCAGCTTAAAAAGCAAAGTGAACATCATAACTTGAGATTATGTGTCTGAAAGATGTCAATCAGCTATTAGATGATTGCTCCTATTGCAGGAACAACATGATTGCAGTACAGCAGCAGGACTGTGACTATATAGAAATTATTTTGAAACCTTTTGCAACAACTCTTCCATTTTGATTAACCACATCCCACTAAGTATGTGTTCTTTGCACATGACAGCATTCAGATGACAGAAGCCAAGAGAAGAATAAAAATGCAGCTGATGACATTTTCCTCATTCAAGAATCCTGTCATTGAAAAATAGCCTCCTTTGGGAAAAAGAAATATCTCATAAAAAGTATTGAAATGAGTATGCAATTTCCCAGCCTAACATTAATAGTATTTTAGCTATTAATGAAATCCTAAATTTTTGATTAAAGACAAAAATTTTGGGAGTGATTTTGACCTGTCATAAAAGTATCAATTAGAACATCACAAACACCTGCTTTTGACTGAAAGAATTAAACCTGACAATTTTTCACCTTTCAGCACAAGTAGCTTTGTTTTCTTTCATTTTTCTGATTCCTGGTACATCAAAATCAATTGTAATGCAATTGTCATTGAACTGCTAGTTAATATATTATTTTTAAATGTGATCCTAGTCAGGATTAAAGATGAAGACAATGCAAGTAGACGAGCTGAGTTGCTCTCAGACTCCATGTACTTTTTTAAACTTGTGACTCCTTTACATGTAGCGGGAACTTAGAAATTCATTGCACACCTACACGTAGAAATCTGCTCTGAGATATCTTAAGCCACAGCCAGGTCTTTTGCCTAAAGGCCTGTTGTCCTATTCAAGGACTTTATTGGAATTAAAATATGTGCCGAGACAATATATTTCTTGAAACAAAGCTGCTGTTTTAGTCAGTGTGACTGACATGGGGTATTTTGCAGTGTGGTGAGCCAGGATGAAAGCAGCTAATAGACCCAGAAGTAGCATAACTGTTTGTGTTACTTTCTCTATTAGCCTTGCTGAGAGGTACTAGCCTGCTCTCAGACTCACGCTGGCTGCACGTTTGGTTCAAGGAACTAGTTTGTGCTGAAGAACCAGCCTGCATAAAGCTTACGTGGGCCTTATTGCTTGTTTCACTGTGTGAGGAAGTTTTTGCCCACAGCAGCCTTGTCACCCACAGGTGTGGTTTCTGCATTTGTAATAAACTATTGCTGGCAGTGTTAGAAATTTGAACACCTTCTATGTGTGACTGGCTTTTTTTTAGGTTCCATTTCAGTACTGTGCTTTCAGAAGCAGATCATTAGGTTGCCTGGTTCTGACATTCAGAGGCAGAGATCTGGCTTTTGAAACACACAAATGAATAAAATGTGTCAGAGACTTCGTTCCCATGTATTATTAAAAAATCGTTCTGTCTCTGTACTTTGCAAGGACGAGTTCAAGATGATGATAAGTTTGGTCTGAGTAAATGACATAAAGTAAATAAACTTTTTAAGAATGTATCCAAATTAACAAAGTTTTATTAGCTTAGGAGAAAATCAAATTTCCCTGTCTGATAGAAAGGAAAAGGATTTTTGAAGACCCCAACCCATTCTTCAAGCTGCACAGTAGTCAGACATAATATTCTGTCTTGGATAAACTTTGCAATCACTGGGACCAAGTGCTCTATTCTACTTGGAATACTGCATTATTTATTACATTTATTTTGGTGGCAGCTATTTCAATTTTTTGCATATATATTTAAAAATAAAACTGACACCATTTTGTTAACCAATTGCTATTTTAGATACAGTTAAGCTTTGCAAATGTAAGTTATTCATACAGTAGATAGAACAATGAATTAGAAAGTGTCTAAATTACTATTCTGCTCTTCTGAGAACTTTTAAAGGTAATTTTTTTTGGTGCCGTTACACAGACCTAATAAAGCCCATTTACCAGTAGCAAATGTAAATTCAGAAAAATTTGAGCAAATGATTGCTCAGTGCTGCAAAATTAAATAGCTAAAAGCAAGGCAAAGTAACCTCAACTATAATACCATACTGATTCAGCCGTGCTGCTTGCTGTACACAACAAATTTATGCTACAGCCCATATGAATTCAGTCTGACCCTGAACACTTACAAGAATTTAATGTGTAACAGCTTAAAAAACCCTAAAATTCTGTTTGCGAGATCTAAGGCAGAAGTGATGGGAATGACAAGCGGCAACCTTTAGATCAGGCTCTTGATGAGAACTACCACAAGAAGAAAAGGAATGACATCACACCTACGAAATAATAATCAAAGACTATAGTACACTTAGAATGTTCTCTTTTTATTTTAAATATACCTATTACAATATTTTGTTAGGCTTATATAGAGCACTATTATTTACATAATTCAGTGTTTATCCTTTAGGGAGAATTCCAGTGGTCAATAAATAAGAGTCAGTGAGCTGCTTGTTAACCATCTTGGAATCAGAGTTCTGAAATATTGATTTCACATAAATGATGAAAGTCCTTGAAATGGTTACAGTTACCTGTAGTTTCATACAGTAGGTATCTTCTGACTGCAGTCAAATTGTGACGAAAACTCTGAACATAGCTATAAGTAACCAGAAGAAATTTTAACAACAACATCAAATTAAAAAAATACTGAAATTCATCAGTGGTTGAATCTCTACATTCTTCAGATGCATCTCAGGGTGATGATATTGTTCAAAGAGAACAAAGAAACAGTTGGGCAGGATCCCTGTTATAAAATGTCTAGATCATGGGGCAAAATATATAATCACTAATAAATAAAAAATACAGCTTTTTACAAGTCTCCTTTTAATGTGGCATCTTAAAATGTGCCTGCAGGTGAGAATAGTTTTCATTATTTTAATTAAAATTCAATTTTTCATGGTTACTATTTCTTACACACGAATTTATGCATTATATATATATGCTATATAAAACACATAAAAGATTAAGTTGTCAGTACAAGGAGTATCATTAGCTGAGAACATGAAGGAGGATTCATATCAGAACCCACTCGATGATATGAGTGTAAGCTCAAATACACAAGAAAAGGGACTTTGGTCCTGATCTTTCACTAAGAGAGTAAATGTGGTCCCATGTTTCCACATACAGAATGTACTGTCTTTACAGAGATCGTACCAGTCCTGTGTGTGTCAATCACACAATTTTCACATGACCCACCTCAGAAAGTGGGTTTGAATCAGGACAAGCAGCTTAAGGGTTTTTCTCCTAATTCTCATCAGTATTTTTCAGAGGTCAAGCCCGTGGCACATTATGTGAGTGGCTGAGTATCTATGACATTTAGCTATGCACCCAGTTTCATTTCCCCAACATACAGAAAGACAGAAGACAAATGCAGCTCATAACTACCAGGCATTTATCATAACAAATGTAGCATTATCATGGAATAGAAACTATCGTTTATTGACAGTGTGCCTGCTTGTTCAACAAAACATCTTCGATTTCAGTAGCATTACAGTTTGGCAAAGAAGAGTTTCTGAATTATCTTTGTTACATTTTTGAATCTCTGGCACGTTTAAGACATCCACCCACCTATTCAAATAATATTTTGAAGCAAAATTAATGTTTGATATAAAATAACAGTTGTGTTGTAAATGTGGAAAAATAGTCTACAAAAAATAAGTATAAAAGTGATCTCAGATTTATGAATATGTTTCATATAAACAAGTCCAGGTGACTAATCTGTGTGTTAGAAATGGCCCTTTGTAGGCTGTGTCACAACAGTACATCACATCTTTCACAGTTTACAATAACACAGATTCACAATGTGATGACACCTTATATAAGAAAAATAGTATTTTACAAACTATACATTTGGCATCTATTTTTAGATTTTTTTCTTTTTTCAGTTCCTTTTTTCTTTTTCCTTTTTTCTTTTCTTACAAAATAGTGCAAAATTACAGTGCGTCAATAGAAGATTTCGCAAATCCTAATAAAAAGTCATTATATTTAACTGTTTTGTTCATTCACTGGAAACAGTTTGGCACGTTAGGATTTTGTGGAAAAGCTTCTCAATTTCTTCTCTTCAGTATATCCATTGAATCTTTAAAACTCTAAATTGCACCAAGGGAGTTAACTTTCCAAACTTTTTAATCTCATCTCTTATAATGTGTATTACAAAACAAAACAGCAAAGGAAAATGTAAATTTTGCGGCTATTTTTTTTTTGCCAAACAGCATATATAAGACCGGCTTTTCTTATCATGTGATAAAGAAAAGGATTGATGGGAATATTTTTCATCTGGTAACTGCTAAAGTGTTTATTTATCGTTTCAAGGTTCTATGGGAAATTAATCCCAACTTTATATATATATATATATGTGTGTGTGTGTGTGTGTGTGTGTTGGTTTACCATATATCTTTCAAATTTTACTATCATACATGTCCCTGTATCTGGATCCAAACAGGCTGTATCAAGCCAGGGGGATAAAGTTTCATCAAAGCCTGTTTTCAACTAATTCATATAAAAAAAAAGAAACAATTGCTTTTGCTGCCAATTTGCAATGATTAAATGATTTTCCTACTAATTATTTACTTAGTAATGTTAGTGAAGAGCTCCCTCATGTATGAATGCTTCATTTGTACGGGCTGGCATCATACCTCAAAAAAATGTCAATACTCTTATTGCATGGAACAGCAGTCTTCTTCATAATCATAAACAGTCATGGTACAGTCTGTGGGAGTGAGAGTGTCCTAAACCACTCTATGAGCATGCTGGGAAATGCACAGATGTCAGATGAGTCTCGGGTCAGTTCTTTGCCTTCTTGGCTGAAAGCAGGAACAAAAAAACCTGACTGAGATCACCGAGCCATCTACTAGAGGCTGCCACACAGTGGTCTGTACCCACTCACTCATAATTCAGACTGTTAACCTGGAAGTGAAAAGGTCTCTGCCACATGGGCAAGTCTCTGAACTATTCACTATGCAGAGACTGTTGGTCTCAATTAATTGCATAGAAAATATGGTGACATAAAAGATTCTCAATTAATTACCTTTCCAATAGAGTAATGAAGTGGCTTTTTCCAATACGAAAACTGCAGGGTGATGTCTCTAGGCCTAATTATTTCTCATGAGTTTGCAGTTTTATCATCTGTATCATTCTGTGGCATTTGTGCCATGAATTAAAATTACTACTGCATGGTTTGTTTAATCTATTTCTTGACATTTCTGTACCTTCTATGAATGTATCTAACCAGTATGAATTATACACTGATTTTCTGAAGGTAGAATCAGCTATAGCAGTAGAGCTAGTTATTCAAATATTAGAAAGAAAACATCCGTGAATAAGAAGGTTGTTTTTTACCCAAGTCATTCCACTCTTGACTCAATCCTTTATTACTAGCATGTAAATCTCCCAAATCGCCTGCTGATTCTGGTGGAAGATTTGCCTGAACAAGGAGCAAAAGATGAAACTGAAATAACTATCTTGTATGAATCTTATTGATTGATTTTTAACATTTAAAAATTGCTTATATTAAAAACAAACAAACAAACCAGAACTGTTGGCCAATATTAATGCAGAAGTCCACCAACTGGTAGATAAACAGATACATCTGAACTGACTACTCAATAATGTTCTAGTTTTTTACCAAGGAAACACTGGAGTATTTGATTAACTTTCACCGTTAGCTTTAAATAGGTCAGGAGCCTCCTTGTCAGCCTGCACAGACACACCTCTTGTTCCCACTTTGCACGCACAGTTGATCACTCACAGAGTCCCATCTAGACAGAACCAAATATTTTTCTCCCAAATGAAAATCAGGTATGGCTGAGTCTGACCCCCTTTAGGGCACACTCAGCCCAGATTATTAAAAGGATGCATGCATGATCAGGTTTTATGTTTTCTTCCTAGAACAGTCCTTGAAATACTGTCTCAGCAAGCCTCAGCTCCTCTCACCTCACCAAATGCAAGTTCATTCACCCTGCACAGCACAGGCAGGCCATAAGGTGGAGTGCCATGCTGAGTGGATGGCATGAGATGATGGTGGCACATGTAGCATGCTGAAGCAGAAGAGTAGGGTCAAGGTATATTGGACAGATACTAAGCCAGAATTAGTCAGTGTGGAACAGGGAGTCTACTCACAGGATGGACACACGTGATGCAAAAGAGGCCACACAAATTGTCCTCTCTTGGCTATAGACTGTGCTCTCTGTGCAATTCCCAAAGGCAAGAAAAACATACTGTTTGGAGCCCCAATGCATTAAAGCATTTAAGATGCTCTTAAATTTAAATATATGCTTGAGTCTTGTGGTCATATACATGTGCTTAAGGTCTTTCTTGAATCAAGTTCAGAAAGTATTGTTGTATGAGGACATGAAGATTTACTTCAGAATAAAAAAAGGAAAGAAGAATAAGGGTTCTTGAAGTCAGATAAGAAATATGATTAGTTTACCAACAGACCACTCTTCTCCCAAATGTTATTTTTTGTCTAATAAAAGAGATATTACAAATCCAGCAGGAGTCCCATTCTTGAATTATCAGTTATTGGCTATTTAACTGAAGCTTGCTTGATTAGAGATGGAAGAAAATGACATATTATTGTTTTTATAAGCCCAGTTTGAAAAACAAACATGAGTAGGTAGAAAGAGTAAGTAGCTGTTTACTGTACACAGTAGCGTCAGCTTCCCCTATCTTCCTCAACCTGCATGAACTCTGCAAATCCCCACATTCATGTTCTCTCAGTTCAAATTTCATTTTACTTGATCTGTTTCTTAAGAGGCAAATAAGTTGCTAGATGTGTCTTGCACATTCTACAGGCCTCACTCAGACTGCTTGTTCATTGTGAGTACAGCCGTCTTGGATGACAAGAGGTATTCTGGTGACCAGGATTCACTGAGGAATGGCGGTGTCATACTGAGCAAGAGCTGCTGTGATCTCTGAGTGTCTGTGAAATGAAGGGAAAACTCTGCTTTAGAAGGATCTTCTGCCAGTTTTGTCTGATGCCTGTTCACATTCAGTGGAGTAGCAATGCATCTGGAGTTAGTATTTTATCTGTTTTGAGTCTTGTTTTCCACAATGAGAAAGGCTTTGATGTTGATAGCTCTGTGCACAACAGAGAGCCTGGAAAAACATCCAGAAGCAGCCATTGTAAAAGAAGGAATAATGATTACTCTCTGTCTTCAGTGACTGCCGAGTTAACTTGTGACAAGTGCATATGCAAGATTATTGCAGGCTGTCAAATAAAATAAACTGAAGGCCTGAAATAAAATTGTTGAGAAAATAGTAAGAAATGGTGTGATTTCTCATCTTTCATTTCTCTTTTCTTGTACAAGTATCTTCTTCTGCCAGTGGTACCAAGGCATAAATAATACCTTGCTCTTTGTTTTAACTAATTCCATGTAATTTACCCTTGCATAATTAATTGGTTTTGCCCATTCTCCTTCACAGTGGTTTACTATTTGAGTCTATTTACACTAGCTGTTCATGTAGGGTAGCTCACTGAAGGAGCACAGACGTCACAACGCCTAATGTTATATATAGGCTGGAATCAATCTTCTGTGAGTTAGGTGTGCAGGTCTGGGTAGACTGCCTTTATGCATGCTTGGAGTCGAGAGGTTTTAAATCCATTGATTGACATCATTTACCACCTAGGCTGGACATGCTTCATCTTCTGTCAACAAAGCTCTTTATATCCAGAACTGTTTAAGACTTGATACCTGTAGACCTCTTTAAAATCTTCATAAAATGGCTGGTTCACTTATGTTCCAGCCCACACTCTTCAAGAATGTCAGTGAGGCATTAGGGTCATGCGTCTTGTTTAGGGTTTGGTCATGTTTCTTGGTCATTTCAATCTAGATTTGATTTCTTTCTTGTTTTATTAATCTTTGAAACAATTTTAGTAATATACCCTGAACGCAAAGTATACAAGCCTTGTGTGAAGTTTCTGTGAAGAGAACAACTGTCTTTCCTCTTCCATCAAAAGATTTTCACATTTCTTAAAATTCAGCTCGAGATTAGCCCTGTCGACTGGATCCAGTACTCACAGAGGTAATGACATTACTTACAGGCTTAAAATTTAGCTTATATTTCAAAACTTTCCTGTGTATACACTGATTGATATCTGTAGTAACAGGTCATATATCTTATTATTGTGCTTACTTGCTATTAATGCAAGAATTTTTTGTCTGAATCTTGATGCCAAGACACCAGACTGATTTGACATACGCCTTGAAACACACAGCACAACTCCCACTGTCTGAAATGAGGAATGAGGTAAGGGACTGTGCACGTTCACCAAAGGGTGAATGTACTTCCACTGAGATTAATGCAAAGAACTTCCAAATTCCAGCAATCAAGGGCATCAACTTATCCAGTCAAAGCAGTGGCATATTGAGTCACTGAGAATTTCATAGCACCCCTGAAAACAAAAGGTATGATGTCCTATAGGACAGACTGTGGGTAATAGCCACTTGCTTTCAGAATGAGAAATACTACTCACATTACATCCATGCCAGCACTTTTTGTTTAGAAGACATGGTTTCATTATATTGTGTTAATTTACAAGGTAAGCTCATCTTGTTTCGTACTGGAATGCTGGTGAGTTTAGGAGTTCACAGTATATTGCAAACTAGCTTTTAAAGACAGCAATAAATAGTATAAATAAATATCTGGAGCAGAATACAGCTTTTGAAGCCATAGGGAGAGCACAAGTGTCTCTATAACCCTTCTGTGAAGTTTCCTGTTTTAGAAATTTAACTACATTACTGTTGAAGCCTTGTGTGTTTCTATTCCAGCCTAGGGTAAAAAAAAAAGTATCTGACAAATGACCTTATCTTTTGCTAAACCTTTATGATTGTTTTTATTTGTTTCCTTACTTCACCAATGTTGTTTTCTGCAAGTTAATCTTAAGTATTTGATCAACTGCTTTGCTTGATCAGGGTCTTATACATTACACAATCTGAAGTTTTTCCAGTTAACTTTTTTCAGTAGAAGGTGTGATTTGAACCTGAAAAACCAAGCTGATTGGCTTTCACTTGATAACAAAACTTATCCATACATTTATGCCATTAAACCAACCTTGTACATATGAATATATATAGCAATCAGATATTTAAGACTTAGCTGAAAGACAAAATAAAATTGAATGACACATGTTAAAAGAAGGTATTTTAAATAATCATAAAACCCATCACATTTTTGTATTTGCTATCAGAGCAAATTTAATACTTAAGAACCTATTTATATATTCAAATTTTTATAGCAACTGCTGCTCTTAAGAGTGCATTTTTTTATACCTTTTGTATAAAATATTTCCAAAACCCAAAATTAATTAGCTTAATGAATTGAATGGTTGAATATGTCAGCCTGATAACTTATTTACTGAATTTCAGCATATTTCTTTCAGAAAATAAACTGTTCGATCATTTTTTTTTCCACATTCATGAGTCATTACAGAAAGTTGTTCAGCCACAATTCAAGTTCAACAGATCTTTAGATAATTGGGGACATATTCATGATTATTCAAGAAATTATATGAGAGAAATTGCTAAAATTTCGTAACAAGGTATTTCTGAAAATCCGTTATTACCATCCAAATTCAGTGCTGATTTAATGAAATGCCTATGTTAAAATCTGTTTATCTCTGTATCAGTATAACGTACAGCCGTGGTTCCAGTAAACAATACTTGAGACACAATGACACTTAAGAATATGCTGCATTTAAATATACTCAAAAATTGGATGAATCTGTGCTTTGGTCACTGAGGTTGTTCATCTTCTCTGTATCAGAATTCTTTATTCTTCTGAGGGTAAGAGCAGACATATTCCTAAAGTAACTTAATGGATCTATTTGTTAAGAAACATCTTATTTTTAGAAACAAAGACTGACTACTATCGTAATACCTTTTAAAAACTATATATCTAAGTTCATCACCCTTAAGAAGGGGTGCAGCTGATCACACTGGAATAATCATAGGTATTGAAATTTACTGTGTTCTTAAAATGTAAGATGAACCATAAAAAAACTTTACTGTCTTTTGAAATATTACACACATTTCAGACTGGAACAGCAATTTATGTTCTTAAAGTTCTCTCTGGCATTTAAAAGTTGTGTCCTCATTTTCCAAATACGTTAAACAGCAAATGTAATGTTAAAAATAAAAATAAAAACCTGTTAAAATGACTCCATTAAGTGTCAGACTGGGACATATTTCACAGAAAATGTGGAAAATATTATTTAAAAATTATAGTAAACAATCAAATATTCTTCAGTGCACATAATTAGTATGTACATTATAATTTAAATCTGAGTATTGATGACTGCTGCTGATGGTCTTTTAAAATCTCTTACAAAATATAAATAGGATAGCCAGGAGAGGATAGCTGATAAACCATGACATTATGTTCTCTTTCCTTTCTTTTTTTTTTTTTTTTTCTTTTCCTTTCCTCTCCACTTGGACTGAAGTTTCTTCTGACTTCTTCAGAAAAGTGCATACACACACACACACACACACACGCGCGCGCGCACGCGCACACACACACACACACACACACACAGATTAATTCCAAAACCATTTTTCTAAATTTCCAATAGACTTGTATTCCTGGTGTCTTTTCACATGATCACAAGCAAGACATGCATGTGACTCCCAGAATCTAGGAAGATGCACCGAGAAATCCTTCTTCCAGTTGAAGTAACTAAGGTACATCTTGTTATTTTTGTCAAGCATCAGAAGATATTCTGCCAGCTCTCTGGGGGAGAGAAAATCTTCCACGTGTATGAAAGAGTCTGCTGGAATGTAATTCTCATAGTTTTCTCTGGAAGGGCCCAGTACTACTGGTACCGATCCGGCCAGAAGAGCATTGTAAAGTTTCTCGGTAATGTAATCTTTGTGGATAGAATTTTCAAAGGAAAGGTAGAATTTACAAGTGGAGATAGTTGGAATCAAGTTTTTATCATTGACGTAGTCTCCAAAGGCTTGTCCGTAGGTATGGATTTCAATGTATTTGCTAAGCTCATTGTAATACTTGACTCGAGCGTGTTCAGGGTTCCAGTTACTTACCACCCAACAGACCAAGTTTTCCTTACTTGGCACTTCAAATGTAAAGGAACTTGTACCGACCATCATGAAGCCATAAGGCACCTGAATATCTGAATCACGCCGATAAGTCAGGGTCAGGTTAAAAAGGTGTTCAATGCCACTCTTTTGTGGAGTATGAGTTGGAGACTCCAAGTTCATCCAAATCCACTTCTGGAATGGTGGCCTGGCTTGCTGAGGTAAATTAGTCAGATCCCAGCTAATGTCCCTGTGGTGAATGAGAACAGCATGGGATCTGTTATATAGTGAGCGGTCAATAGTCAGATGGCACCCATGAATATTGAACATCGTTTGGCAGGATGTTAGATCGAATGTCTGACCAAATGGCCAAACCCAGATCAAAACAGTAGTTTCATTAAGATTATCAGATTTGGAAGAAAAGAAGCTCTTCATTTTCAGAACCGAACTGGCTGATTCTATAGGACCAGAGATCCAGCTGTTTGTTGGTTTGATATAAATTAGTATAAACGCCATGAAACAACCAAGGACAATGAAGATAATAAAAAATGGCCGGAAAATTCCTTTAGATGTCGATGTCATAATTTGTTCTGAGAAAAAAGAGAGGAAGAGAAAGAGAGAAAATAACATCAGGTATTAAATTATGTATATATGTCCTGTTAAAGCAATCAAACATCAGACATCAAAATGGGTAGAACTTCAATAGCACTGAGCTGTAACCTCAGAAATTTCCTCTGAGTGGAGAAGGTATGGGTTCTTGCATGCTATTCATGACAAAGTGACAATATTTCTCCTCTTCACATTAAAAGCTAATTGGCATAAACCCAAGATTTTAATGCATCTCATACTTGAAAGAAATCAGTATTTATCTTGAGAAGTTTTTGCTTAGAACCTAGTCCAACAGTTTAAGAGACACACAAGACACAAAATTACCCTTTGATTCTGTCCTTGTGTCTGTGTAAGGGATAACATGCAGCAGATTTGGTCCATTTGTATCTGTGTGTATAGACATATGGAGGAAATAGGATTAGAAGAATGAAAAAAAAAAGAAGAGACTAGAACTTTAATTCTGTAATCAGTAAGACTGTTAGGAAACTAGTTCATGCCTGATGGCTACATGGGGATGAACATTCATGCCTTCTCCAGAGGACTTCTAAAACAGCTAGGGAAGGAAAGCAGCAATAGGGGTTCTCAGCTCCTCTGTTCCCGTATGCAGCCTCACATAGTTTCCACATAAAGAAAAATGAGTAAAAAGATGTCCTTAAATATTGGATTATGTTTTTATCACATAGCCCTGTGTTAAAAATTAGGGAAAGTAGAGATGTGCTGCATCTTTGTGAAGTATCACTTTTTCCATGGGGAAAAAGGAGTGAGGAGTTCATATACCCTCCTTTGTCCTCACTCTTCCTGAGAGAAGTGATAAATCTCTTTCCAGAACATCTTTTCCATATGGTTCTTGTGAAACCCAGCAAAGTTACCCATTGCTTATAGCTATCCTTTGCTCCTGTACATAGCCCTAGAACTCAGAGGTGTTCTAAAAATTAAAGCAGTTAACCATGCAAAAGAGCACTATGACGTACAAGGAAAAAGAAGTAGAAATTTGCTACCAAAAAGAAGTGCTCTGAATATACTGGCCTACTGTAGAAAAGTAATTCTGCAGTGCATTTCAATGACTATAAAAATTGTCTGGTTTCTTTTTCTGCATATTTTTAAATTCCTTGGATTTTTTTAATCTTAACTAGTTAGTTCCACATAATTTTTTATAAAAATCCCACCCCTAAATGCATACAATATATATAATATAAATATGAATAAATAAATAAAAAAAGTCACAGGAATCAGAAAGATAATTTCAGGCCTTTTAAGACAGTTTCATAGCTCATCTCCTCTAACCTGTGAAATAAGTAGTTAAAATCAGAATGAAGATATAGTAGAATGTGATTCAGAGGTCCATGAATACAACATAACTTTGCTGCTTTGTGAGTATAAAAACTGATGTGTGAGTGTAGCACTACAGTTACAATGAAAATGTTTTCACATTCATTGTTGATGAAAGGAAAAACGAGGGAACGTTATGCTTAGCTTTAACATTATATCCTGAGGAAAAAGGAATTTGCCACAATGTCTGCCCTGTTTTGGGAAGGCAGATGGTCTTAATTCTGGTTTTAGTTATTGTGGTGGGTTAAACTTGGCTGGCTGTCAGACACCCACCCAATCACCTCATTCATTCTCCCTCCTCAGCAGGACAGGGGGAGAAAATAAGAAGAAAATCTTGTGAGTTGAAGTAAGGACAGGGAGATCACTCACCAATTACTGTCACAGCCAAAACAGACTCACCTTGGGGAAAATTAATGTCTTTTATTGCCCATTAAAATAGATTTGAGCAGTAAGAAACAAAGACAAAAGTTAAAATAATACCTTCCCCACCACCACCTTCTTACCAGGCTCGACTTCATCTTTCATTTCCAATTGCTCTACCGCCTCCCTGCCTCTGAGCAGGGAGGTTTGCGGTCAGTGCACAACGATTCCTCCCAGCTGCTCCTTCCTCCTCCTCACACTTTTCTCCTGCTCCAACATGGGTCCTTCCCATGGGATACAGTCCCTTCAGGAAAAAAAGCTCTGCTTCAGCATGGGCTGGTCTGTCCATAGGCTGCAGTTCCATCAGGCCGTACCCCTCTGCTCTGGTGTGGGGTTTTCCTGGGCTGCAGTGTGGGTACCGCTCCACTGTGGTCCTCTGCGGGCTGCAGGGGAGTCTCTGCTCTAGTGCCTGGAACGCGTCCTCCCATCCCTCCTTCTCTGACCTTGATGCTCACAGGGTTTTTTGTCACATTTTTCCCCTCATTCCTAACTGTCTATCCCTTTCTTATATACGCTGTCCCAGGGGTGCTGCCATCTTGGCTGCTGGGCTCAGCCACGCCCTGCTGTGAGCCCATCAGACACAGCTGGAACTGTCTGTGCCCAGCACGGGGCAGCCCTGGCCTCTCCTCACAGAGGCTGCCCTGCAGCCCCCCCATTGCCAGCACCTCAGCACGAACACCCAAGGCAATTATATAAAATATAGTGGCATGGCGAGTCTGGCTCTTTTGTCTTGGCCCTTTTCTTTAGGACATAATTAAGCACCCTCTTCTCTGCTTTCAGCAAAATAATCCTGAAGGGAGTAAAGGGGAGGAACTGTGGTGTCCATGGTTTTTCCACTTATCCTCAGCAATTTAAGTTCATCTGAAAGAAATATGTGATTTTACAGCAACATCATGTTGGCTTTTTTTAGCCTATGTTGATTTTTGCTAGAAAATATATCTAGAGGGGAGGGGAGGTTATGACCCATGAAAGCAGAAGGCTGATTCCCTGCCTTACTACAGTGAGAGTCAGAATGGGGTCTCTGAGGAAGAAGGGATTTAGGTTGCACAGTTCTAGGAGATGAAGCTTAAGGGAAAAATGAGAGGCTGAGCCGATCTTCGTGTAACTGTTCTTCATTTCTGTGCTATTGAAACCAACACGCAGAATACGTATAGCTTTCCACTGAACAGATATCGTGAGCTGAGCTTGAACAATAGGTTAGGAAAGGTGTCTATTCACAGAAACTAATAATTTTCTAGGGATTGAAATAGATGAGAAATCAGAAAAGGACCTTAACATTGTGCCTTGTAACTTAGTCGCTGTCCAGTTAAAAGCCTTCTGACACAAGCCTCTCTGATAGGGATTATTTTACACTAAGCTCTTCTGCTAACTAACAAAAATCCCTGCACCATCACATGGCAATTCTTGTTACATAGGAAATGTCTAGATATTATGTATTCTGTTCTCTGCTTGAAAATCTAGCGTGTCCACGGTGTTGCATTTGTATAGGAAGCTTTTGAATTGTAGTGCCAGTGTAAGTATAAACACTTGTTGTTTGTGCTATGCAGAGCACCATCTCTCAACACTAAGCAGGTGAGTTTACCTATTTTATCCCTCCCAGATCTGTTTCCTCTCACTGCTTTGCTCCCCTGTGAATACATGTGTCCTGTCCTGATCTGGGATCACGGTTCTTAGATATTGCCTTTTGCCAAAACACTAGACCACAGTCAGGATAGTTCTTTTTCTTTTCCATCCTTTGGATTCAGAGAACTGACTATTCATTATGCAGACTTATACATCCATTAGATGTATAGGTGTCACTGGCATGCTTCACTCTGAAGCTACTTCTAATGGGATGGTGGAAAAGGGATGTAAAATCAAGACCCATTAAAACCTGGAATGATAGACTTTCAAGGAAACAGAAGACCTTAGCAGACTCCTAAAAATACCACTTATATATACCCTGAGAAGCTGGACAGGATTTTGTCATGGAATTCTATTTTTGTAATCCATTTTGTGTTAACTCCAGTAATAACTATTAAGATGTGCACTGGGAATAGCAGTAATTTTTCAGGATGAAGTGCTAACCTCAGATGCAATAACATCTGTGCTTTATAAAGCAGATTGAGGAACCTACGGAATGGACCAGAAAACTCTGCCTTCATGGCTTTTGGGACTGTATACAGGCAGCAGTACAGTGAAGTCATGTGGTAAGCAGCCACTGACAAATATTTTCTTGAGAAGTAGCTTGTCTGTACTGCTAAGAAGTATAGGTTGCCTTTTTTTTTTTGTTTGTCCACTAGAATTAATGAAATACTTCTTTCACAATATTCTCCAAAATGTGGAGTCATTTACATGTCTATTTATTTCATTCTAGTTTGTGACCAAGATCACCATCAATCTCCTGCTAAAATTCTCACTATAAAGGTGACGCTAAGGAGACATTTGTTACAAGACTTCTAGCCAAGTAACCTTAGCTCACCCTTCCTCTTTCATGGTTTTCCTTCTACCACAGAATCACAAATTTCTTTTTCACGGATCCCCTCCCCCATCAATCTGTGGCAGGCCAGACTCTGAAAAGAAAACTTTGTCAAAGAAATGTGTTTACTGAGACCTTTGCCAACTGGAAGAATTTGGTACCTTTGATAGTTTTGTTATAAAGTACATTTCAGAGTGTTGTGGCGTAGCAAGTATTTTCTAGGTGCCTTTTTTTCCAAGTTGAAAGTATAGTGTTTCATCAGTACAAGTCTATTTTTCTTGATACAAAACTTAGCAAGGCTTCTTTTTAAGTGCAAAACTTGGCATTCCATCAGCAAGCAACTCCATTTAGTAGCAATACAAACCACAAACAGGGAGATAGTAACAGGGTACCAGCAACATTAACCCCAAGTACACCAGGCAAGGCTTGCAAAAATATATCTATTTTGTGAATGCATTATGTTCACTAAGAAATAAAATAGAATTTTATGGTAATTGTGATATCATGGCTTCATTACAACAGTAACTTCTCAATCATTCCAGAAAGGATAGACATGTTTTTTGCTGCTTATGCAACACTGCAGGAGGGAGAAAACGTAACCTTTTGGTCAGTAATATCGACGGCTGTTTCTCGAGTATATTTTTGCACCAGGTTCCCTGGTATACCCTCAAGATTTTGCCAGTAGCCCAAAATATATTGCTACTTGCAAAGATGTAACTTTCATTACTAGTCTAGTACTCAGATTTTCCAAGGAAAAAGGCAGTATTTTAAGAT